AGTCGTAAAACATTTTATGTTACCATACCAAGGCCTTTAGTTTTAGTGCAGTGGTAGAAATAAACTGGAAGTTTGCGGTTTGTCGAAATCTACAAACGATATAAAACGTCTTGAATGGATTAGTGTGCTATCAGACTTCTGTTTATTCTTTGAAAGCTTATTCATATCTCCGAATTTCGCGCTTTTTAGAAAATGGTTACTAAAATTTTACGCCACGAATGCCAAAGTGTGTGCCAAAGTCAAATAAGTCCTGGCCATTATACAGAACGAATTTCGAATAATGATGGAACTCAGCGCAAGAAGATATATGATAGGAAATTGTATACAGTGTCTCAATTTCTACACGAAGAAAAGTGAACCATGATTGGAGGCCCCATCTGTACGAAAATTTAGTTCCTGATGCTTTCGTTTTTTTGAAGTTACAAAGGAACATTTTCGACTCATAATGTTTCCGAGGAGCCGATCTATGGAGAAAAGATGTAGCTATACGCCCGCATGTCTAAGGATAGAAGCAGATTACGCAGCAGTCGCTCACAGTTTGAGCTATGATAACCCCACAAAATTATTAGCAAACCTAGTCAGAAGAAGAAAGACGCATATGATAAGGTGCTTCGATAATGGATTAAACTATATGGTTATTGTTTCTAAACCCTCGCAGTTCAGGTGACGAAAGGATCGGTGGAAGACAAATGAAGTGCCAGCTATCAGATTTACTGTAATACGGGTTGGTTGGTATGTTGCCAGACACACTGGGAAAATAACAGATTAAAGTGGTACTTGGAAGTAGTAGATGGGAAACGGTGGACCTATGTTTCTTTCTATTTGGCACTCGTCAAGATGAATTTGTTATCGTTTCGAAAATCATATTTCCTGGCGGATTCTCTTCCGTATCACCCAGCTTTAAAGCCACAAGCGTTATCACTGAGCTCTTCTTGTCACAGCTAACCAGAACGACGTAGATGAACAGGAAGGAACTCACTTAGTCCAAGTTATTATTAACAATGTTATTCATTCTCAGAAAAATGGATATGAGTTTCTCATAATCGGCATAGTTAAGCAGCATTCACGTGCTTAGTGAGTTACTTTTCTGCCTGAATAGCAGTTAAAAATCGATGCCGTACTTCAGTGGGTAAAATGATGTGACTCTAAACGTTAGGAAAACTGCGAATGTGAATGTGGTGATAGGGATCATGAGGATGATTATATTTAGCGAGAGAAGAAAAACCATGTATCTCATAACGTGATATCACATTTATAAGTGAAAATGAGAGTGCGATACATTCATCATCAGCCACTTATTGTTTAAAAGAAGTCTACAAACTTAGCTCTCAATGAAAATATGTCACAACGATGGTTTAGGTTTCGGTGAATAATCACAAGGCTCTTTGGAGTCTGAGAACAAAACAGTTGATTTGCTGTATCAGGTAGTATTGTACCAAGTACGATTAAATTATAACTGCCTGTTGTATAGTAAATTAATACGTATTAAAAAAGCTTGTGGATTTTTTTCCAGAGTTATGATGATAATGGACTCATTATTCAGTTCGATAGCACTTCATTTCTATACTATTCTCTCTTTGTGGATGAATTGTCGCTGCGTTAACGCGAATTTCTGTCTTTGTGACTTAGGAAAGTAATTCCACTTTATGGTTGATATGTCTTTAAGCATCTCTTCATATATGCACGGGTTTACTCAGATCGTAACAATTCCTAGGCCATCAGTTTCCCAAAGATGAAACCTTGAAGATATTTCTGGCAACTCAATGAAATTTGTCAGTTTACCTTTATTGTTTGGAAAAGACACCAAAAGAAGAAGAAGACACCAAAAACCAATGACTCTTGGTAAAACTTGGAAGTTTTTCCAGTCAGCCGTTCTAAAATCTATGCTGACCGAGATGGTTTACTTGTTGATTTGTTTTTGTCAAACTACTGACAATGATATCAAAATAACTTCCTGAAAACGTTTTACATCTGGTGTACGGTTATTAGTGAAAACGAAATACTATATATTTCAGTTTCAATAAGACTACAGACGTTCTTAACTCATTATACAGGCTCTGAGTGCTCAATATATGATTCAAAACGTTTAGCCGGAATTATTACTGATGATATATGCCTCAAAATCATTATAAGCGATGGTCAATAGATGGGTAGCAACAGTGATTAATCTATTCCCTTGGTGCTTACTGAAATAGGTGGGAATATCTTAAGTACGGTATATTTTTCATAACCATCAGAGAGGTTATATATTCTGGAAGCAGGGGATTCATTACTTTTTGTAGCTTGTGTTTTAGTACCCAGGCCAAAGAGTGATGAAAGCGGTGATCTAGTGAAGTTAACCGGAGAGGTTTTCAGACAGTAGGAATGTGCAAGAAAAACTAGTTTATATCTCGCATTTGCATTGAAATAACTTGGGCTAGATCGGCCACCACCTGTGACACTTAAGGCCGTACTCCAAAAGCACCTTATGTAAGCGGACTGTGGAGTGTGATGCTATTTGTCGTATAGTCCTGAAAGTAAAACTCTTAGCTTAGGTTAGCTGCGTAAGAATCTGTAGCAAGTAACTGGTAGCTATTATAACCAGTTCATACTTGATGACCATTTTTATTGGTCAGGTTCTTGATAGGGATTGTGACAATTTTTCGTTCTTTGGGTAATAACTGGTATGAACCTGGGGGTTAGAGGACGGAAATGAGATGAAAATCTGTTGATACCACATTTAGCAATATATTTGGATTTTAATGGATTAGTGGTTTGTTTATCGATTTAGTAACTGGTAGTTACCCACCAACGACTAAAGGTAGGTCCCTTAATACCATGAGATAAAGCCCTTTATTATGAGAATTGGCGTAGGAGATCGGAAAGTATTCACTTTAGTCCTCCTAACGTATATTGTCGATGTGATCGCCATGCACTATAGCTCCTGTAGATTGTTGAAGACAATGTCTTTGGTAGCATTTAAGGTTAGTACACAGTAAATCATTTGGACGAACTGATTTTCCTTTGTATTGCGGCGGTTGGTATTCTAAGTATTCTTAACCTTGGTATACTGCTCGTCCTGATAACCGTCTCTAGATAACTTTCAACGGTGTACAAATCAAAAGACGAACACTATGCATTAATTACGTTTATTATCGCACCACAGTGAACATAAAACCACTGGTACACGAAGCGTAACTGATTTATACTGAAGAACAGGCGAGAAAGCGAGAGAATGAATAAGCGAGTCAGTGAACAGGATTTATATATATATATATATATATATATATGAAGGAATATAAACGAGTCATCGAAATATTTAAGAGGCTAACTTTAAATCGAATATAAAGAATATACGCGTGGGTGATAAGTAATGTTCAATCTTACCTGTCCATACAAGCTTGACAATAATAACAGTACACTGGTACAGATACATTACTGTAAATAAGTCGAAAGGGCTTAACCAAATTAAATGTGAACAAACTCAAGTGTATTTGAGGTATTACCAGGTAATATTGTCTTCGTTTCTTCGCAATTCTGTCAAATTACATTTGCTTTCCTCTTTGAATTTTTACTGTATCGTTTCTGATAAATTTTTTTACCCTGGTCGATATCTCGATTTTCCAATCCGAGCATCCGAATTTTGAAGATTCACATTTGTGTGCAAATCTTTTCACTTTGATCCTGCAGCACGGAACCTAATAAGCATGTCATTAGAACTGTTGTGGTTGATGAAGGAAGACGTTTTCTGAAATTCCTCGGCCCTAGGATAGATGGTCCATAATCACTGTTATACTTGAAGAATTATCAACTCTGAAGCAAAGAAATATAGCTGCCTTGTGATTCTTCGAAGTATCGTTTTTGATGTTCTATCAAAAATGAAGCCTATCGTTAATTAAAAACCTCTCCGTATGACCATATGTACAGATTAGAAATGTAGTGGAATACTTCATTTCCTGTAAGTCAGTTTCATATTACATTCATCCTAGCACCATGAAATGAATTTTTCGGGCACTCGGATGAGTTCTTTTTCGAAATTCGGCATGCTAATTCCTGCAATTAGAAGATCTCATAACTGAACACGAAAATCGCATTATTTGGATTGCTTCAGTAATTCTGGAATGAACGCACCTGCTTCCTAGTCATTCCGACGAACTTTTTTATGGAATTTTTCCACCTCATGGCATTCGATGTTTGAACACTTGACGAAACTTGGAGGTAATTCCTTAATGTCATTGTATGCGAGAGAAACAGATTTATTTGGTAAGGTCACATAATGAGTGAATCATAAGTATCCTTTTCAATGAATGTAATAGAATGAAGAGCCACCTTAAATTTCCTGGTTATATACCATATTTCAAACCTTTCCATGTAGTCTTCAAAGTCATCAACCCTTGAATTAATATACTACTGTCGAAGGTTTGGGTTCATGTAATAATCAAGGGAGTTTTTATTCCATATATGTGCTTTTGATTCCCATAAACATCCAGTTCGTACCATTATAGTTAGGAATATATCAGTACTGAACTCCAGAAAAACTGCGTAAGCCCTAACGAAGGTACTGTACTTTGAATACAAATAACACGTCGAATAATCCACAAAAGAATCATTATTGCAAACGACCATCTCACTTTCCTACTAACAGATACTAAGTCTCTTTCTTTGTGGCTCCTATGCTAGTTTCTGTGTACCTAGTGGCCAGTACTTCACGCGATAATCGTTCAATAATCATTAAAAGTCTTATCATTTTGAGGTTGTCATTTAATAACCTATCTACTTGTTATAGAATTCATCTTCAAAGCAGATCTATGCCATCGTTTCTGTCTTACTCCGTGAAATTTATTATCGAATTGGTTTACACTAGCTCGTGAAAAAGATATTGGATATTGGATGTAATTTCCCTCAAAATAACTTAGCCGTCTTGCACTTATCATAGACTGTATCATGTACGGACAAACTTATCACAGTAACTCATCGGATATCCTATCGAACATCAAGACCCAGTAGTGAAAAAGTAGACTGAAAATTTTTGTTTCCTCCTGTAAAATGTCGAGATCAAACTATATTGGCGATTTAGTTTTTGTGCACTGGATGACAACCTTGAGGCTCTCTAGGATATGATCATCAATTGAATTCCGCGATGTTAAGCGCTTTAAAGAACTCCAAGCCGAAAGATCAGGAAGCATACGCCGGCGTGATCGATGGGCTTTGTAAAATGTACTTTAACAAACTGCTTCCTCTTGAAAACGCATATAAATTCCATGATTTTCACTCACCTCCACTAGAAAAGAGTGACTTTGAATCAAAGCCAATGGTTTTGCTTATTGGTCAGTATTCCACTGGAAAAACAACTTTTATACGTTACTTAATTGGCGAAGACTTTCCTGGCATCCGAATAGGCCCAGAACCAACGACTGATAGTTTCATAGCTGTCATGAACGATGTAAGGACTGGGATTATTCCAGGAAATGCACTCGTAATGGACCATTCAAAGCAGTTCCGACCTCTTTCTAAATTTGGAAATGGCTTTTTAAACCGATTCCAGTGTGCTCACATGCCAAATGACGTTCTAGATGGGATAACCTTTATTGACACACCTGGCATTTTGAGTGGTGAGAAACAACGTGTTGATCGTGGATACGATTTTTCGGGTGTTATTGAGTGGTTTGCAGAACGCGCAGATAGAATCATATTACTTTTTGACGCCCACAAGCTGGATATATCGGACGAGTTCCGGCGAGTTATTGAGGTTCTGAAGGTACGGTTTCGTGATATTTTAGCGGAGACTTTTTGCCTTTGAACTTATATATATGTAGCGCCCTTTCGAAGCAAAATTTCTTTCGATATCTTGTAAAATTCAACATTTTTCCCCTAGATTATTGTTTTTTACTTGTTTACTTGGTTGAACATTACAAGTATTCACATGGTGTTACGTCTTATATTCTGAGTGACTACCTTCAGTTTTAAGTAATCATTCTTCGTAATAAAATAGATACAAAATTAGCAGGTATGCCAGGAGTGTGTTTTTTTTCGTACGAAACTTCGCTTCATAGTTATCAATAAATTATTTTTTTTGTCAGGATTAGGCTGTTTAAGCAAAAATGAGGATGTTCACAGTTCCCCGGTGAACATTAAAAAAGTGGACCTAATCCGAAAATTTGGCTAAATTTGTGTCATTCTTAAGTATGAAGTCAGATATTAATTTTAAGACTTGGTTGGAGATAGTTAAATATTTCTCAATAAACATTTACCAGTGAGATCCTCTAATCGTCAGTGTTCGGTCACGGTTTTGATATGAATATAAAGCAAGAGATTTTCATATCTCTACACTGAGAGTAAGTCAATTAAGCTATTTATAGTGAAGTGCACGTTTACCCAGATTTTTTGCGTCTTCTAATGACCGTCAAAATCAACAGCTAATCGTATAATGGTAAATTTTTCAACTAAATCATTTTTGTGGCATAGTATTTGTCTGCGATAATTGTAGGCTTACTAATTCAAGCTGTAAATAGTTTTGATATAGGCAATTAGATGGCCGTCATTTTTTTTATGTACCGTTTCAATCCGGCCGAATCTTTATAACAATACTTTTCTTGTACAAAACATTCACAGTTCTTTTTCAACTCTCAATGGGAACCTTGAATGCATGTTCACGTTTTGCTAAAGATTGGCTAGAGTTTGAAAAACCTAATAAGATTTTCAGGTGCAAAACCCAATTATGTGAGTGACTTTTGTAGGTGTCCTTGAACTAATATAATTACTACTATTATTACAACTGTTATTACCATTATTACTTAAACACAATCATTGATCGAGGTATTTACGCACTACACTGTGTTGAGTTTGTGTGGGATGGGATATTGCCCGGGCATCTAAACCAAAGCAGTTGGTTTTTTTACGGGCCATATCCCTAGCCTTCGATCAGAAGGTCTAATCTGAAAGGCAGTAGAGCAGTGTCAGGAGATCCAGTTCCAAGGTGACCAACAATAGGTTCGTACGTCATTCGCTCCCTATGATCCTCCTATGTGCACCATTGGTTTGGAATCAAAGTTTTCCAGCGCTTCCAGGTGAATCTTCCGTACCCAACAATTCTGTTAAAGCACTGGATGCTCGCTTTTTGTAAAGAACATTCTTTTCACGAGAAGACAGTAAAACTTCCTTGGCAGCGTCTCAATACGCATGGCTGTATGAGAGCGCTTCGAGAGAGAGCGGACTCTCCGCACTCTCAGCACTGTATTCACAAGTCAATCTCTAAAAACCTCGTTTAAGTCTCTTTTCGATATAACTGGGAATTCGGTAGTAACCACTAAAGTTTCTTGATTATGGTTTGTTCTATTCACTATAATTCCGCCGTTGATAAGAGTCGTAATGCTGATTAGGTTGTCTTCTAGTAAACAATTTATGAAAACTTATTCACTTGAAGAATAAACACTTTTCAAGATAGTTGTCTCATAGTTTTGAACTATTCATGTCGTGTGTAAACACACTTTAGGAATCTTTGTCAAACTTATGTGAAAGAACTATTTCCAGACATTTTCTCCAGAAATGTTTCAATTATTCTTTAATTCACTCTACATTAACGATGTAATTCTGTGCTTGCATTTAGTTCCGTTTACTTTTTGTCTGGTATCTTGTCATAATGTTCATGTCAGGTATTTTTGAAACATTAAGTCATGTTTTTAAAATACTTAACATTTATTTTACGGAATCTGTTCGTTCTTCTCTTACTGGTTAGATAACTTTCTCTTTACAAATCGACAACCTTGTTGTGGTTAATATCATTTGTTCCGCCATCGGCACTTATTGTAGTCTATAAATATTGGGATTCTGTAGTAATTTCTGTTTGACTTTACGAGTCTCGTACTAAACAACCGAAAATAGTTAATAAGAAATACTAAGTTTCGGTTTTATTTTAAATCCTCTATTGTCAGTCGTATCACTTTTTTTTCAAGTGAATACGAATCTCTTCATTATTACAATAGTATCCTTTGTTGGCGAACTCTAAAGGCACCAACTCTAAACATTGTTTGGTTCAGTTAACTTTACAGAATGTGAATCAACTGATATGACAAAAAATCGACTGTACGCTGTGATAGATTTGTGCACATTATTTCATAAGATGCTACATACAATAGAATATGATGAAGTGTGCCATGTAAGCAGAAATAACGATATAGTGAAAAAATAGGCTAGAGCAAACTATATAATATAAGACAGTTTAAATAATGTTAATGGATTGGGGATTTCTCATGCTTCAAGCCTTTTTAAAATTTGGAACATTACATTCTGTTGCCTCTAAATTGTATTTTCGTTTTCCATATATTTTCATTCATTCATAACTTAATAAATTCACACTGCAAAGCTTGTCCTGTTTTCCAGGTACACACCTTTACTTCATTTACTTGATAAAATCTCTGAATCGTTTTATCAACTATTTCAGAGTAAATTCATCCCCTGATTTATGTTCTTTTTGCAAATTATTATTGACAGAAAAGTTCATTGAAACTAAAGTACATTACGTCTAATTTGTTTATTCCCCATGAATCACTATTTATCCTTTTTCCGAAAATGTTTTGACAGGCAGTATGTCGAGGGTTGGTAAATTTAAAATTAATCGACAAAATCAATAAGAGGAATTGATTTTTATTCCTATATAATTACTTTTACTGCCACGATGTGTTTCATATTTGTGAATCAAATTCTCATATTTATCGAATGGTTATTTTAAATCAGTGTACTTTGAGCATTCATTTAATAGAATTCTAAGATTTCTCATCTAAATTTATCTTAGCCGTTTTTTAGGTCAAACCAAGGCTCATAGTATACTGGAGTTACTGTCAAGTTCGAGTAGTCGAGAGTGGGGTAATGATAGATTAATTATTCAAACTCCTTAACTGTCAACTACCGAAATTCAGGTTCAGTGTTGTTTCAGTTCGATACGTACACAAGTAGTCTCGGAATTCGTTCATCGTTCAATTTCATACGATCACAAGAAACTATCATTATCAATATTCTTATATAAATTAGTAATTTATATCCTCCATAATTATTTCAGAAATTATGGAAATGATACATATATATACAGTAGTTATGAATGCATAAACTTTCATTGTTAGTTTTAATCATTGAGCGTATATCGAAACTAACATACCTGATATTTTTCCTTAATTTAAAGTAATCGTCAGTAATATGAAGAAATACGTATACTTTTAAAACATTGTTTTCATTTATTGTTTTTGTATATAGTCGAATGAAGACAAAATACGCATCGTTTTAAACAAGGCAGATATGATTGATTCTCAACAACTTATGAGAGTATATGGTGCTTTAATGTGGAGTTTAGGAAAAATATTGAATACACCTGAAGTAGCACGTGTATATATTGGTAGTTTTTGGGATCGTCAGTTAGTATTTGATACTAATCGAAAGTTGTTTGAATTGGAAAAAATGGATTTGTTCCGTGATTTGGCTACTCTACCTGCAAATGGTACTTTGAGGAAGTTGAATGATTTCATTAGACGTGCTCGTCTTGCCAAAGTGAGTATTTTATAATCGTTTTTGTATGATGTCACTTTTGGATTTTAGTCCAACTGTGGTTTTATTGAAGATAGATACCTTGACGACCATGTGCTCAATCAACAACCAGAATACCACTTGAGTTCGATTTGTTTCGAGCCTAATATTTACTCCATAGCTTGTCGTCTCTGACATTTGACCGACACTATTGACCTTGGGCCGGTAGCCAGGTTCCTTTTGGTCCACTATTTGCAAGTCCCTGTCTATCCCCTACCTTGAGTCCAGAACTAGCAAACAGCCTCCACTATATTTATATTTCAAACATAAGTGGTTTATATACAAACATCTTGAACCGTGCCACACTATAAAGTGAAAAATAGCAATTATACATAAACCAGTCAAAAGTGTCTGTGAATAGGTAAAATTGTAAATAATGGACTGGCTTCAAACCAGGAATAGTAAGTCGTATAACAGTAGTTATTAGGTTAACTCAAACCTCGTGACGAAAGGAATATATACACATAGTATTTATATAAAATTGTAACCGATAATTGGAAAATCATTTTCAACTTTTACAATTTTCAAAAATTTAAAGTAAAAAAACATTTTTCCAATCATTTTGTGCTCATTAACCCATTAATTTAGATATGTGATATCTTACCTTGGAAAATAACCGACAACTAAATTAATAAACATTTAAGTAAAATTAATTATCATTATACAATCTCGATTGACCATTAAATTCTGTTTTAATTTGTGAATAACTGCAAAGAAACTATACATTTGTTACTTACAGTCTAACTAGTTCATTCAATGGATTGATGCCGTATTCTTGAATCGATAAATAAGTTATGTCAATCATGTTTTATTCAATTAGTTGTTAATTTTTCCGAAAATCCTTTTATGCACTGTGGATTTTTATCTATTAGAAATTTCATCTGTAAAATTAACATATGTATTTATTAACTACTATTAAGCGACAATGTAATCGATTCAAATGTTACTTATCCCTATTGGAACCTACTTAAATGATGCTTTCTGAGGAAACTGATGTTCCTAAATTTCTAAGGTCTTTTGTTTCATGAAGTCAAATAAACCTTTCTTTAAAAACAAAGAACTAATAACTATGCTTGTTATCTCGTGGATGCCTAAAATTTGACTGTGTGTCTTGTGACGCAGTTTAGTGCTTTCCTTAATGTGTGTCCTATCCACCTCCAGCACGTTTTGTTAATTTCTTCCTCTGCTAGAATCTGATTTGTTCTTGCTAGCCAGAAAATATCACAAATCCATAAAGTCACTGACAAGTGGACTGAGTCATGTTAGTAGATGTAGGCTACCTGGTTGGGGTCCGCAAGACGATAGTAACCGATGGTTAGAGACCTTGAATGACATGGCTCAAAATCGTTTGCAATGGCGCAGGTGCATCCACTCTTTGTGTTCTATCAAATCCCAATCTTCTGGATTTGTCAACACCTCTACCTTTATCTTCCTAAACTTATCTCACCTAATTATGCTTCTTGAATAATATCTTGGAATCCTAATCTTCTCCATTATCAGTAGTACTGCTACTAGCTCTACCACTATGGGATTTGAATTGGCAATTGCGTCTCTGTGCTAATGTGGTATGGCAACCTGAACTGATGTACTTACGTTCGAAGTTCTATGTTGTAATTTACTGACTGACTGACTGAACCAGAAAATATAATTCAAAATATTTGTTAACTGCTCTTATTTATTTTCTTTTTATTTTAGGTTCATGCTTATGTTATTTCTTATTTAAAAAAAGAAATGCCAACAATGGTTGGTAAAGATGCTAAGAAAAAAGAACTTATCAATAACTTAGCTAAAGTGTACGATACTATATCACGAACACAACATATATCACTTGGTGATTTCCCTAACATTAACAGAATGCAAGAATGTTTAGAAGTACATGATTTTAGAACATTTTCTGCACTGCAACCAAGGCTAATCAAAGTTGTCGATGATATGTTGTCAAGTGAAGTAGCAAAGTTAGTACAAATGATTCCAACGGTAAATCCATTATTATCTATAGTCATTATTTTGATGTTATTACTAATATTTTCGGTTCTGGTCGTGGATGTATGCTTTATTTTACACGAGTAACGTTTTCCAATTCAGGCTAAATCATGATAGATGGATATTATACTAATACATTCCTGCTATGCAAAGTAAGCTAATTTAAGAATTTCGTTTGTGTTTGGCGAATGTTTCAGTGCAAAACTAGAAACCTCAATCAAACTGTAAAACGCAAAAAAAAAAATAAAAACTACTAGTTCTGTTGAAAAGCGATTAATTGCATAGATTCTACATTCATTTAATTGTATTATTAGACTAGTAGTTGTTGATACGTTTAGCCAATCACAAATTTGCCAAATGATAAGCGCAAGTTATTGATTCAGATTTCTTGGGAATGAAGCACATAATTGGTGGCATAATTTTCTGAGGGTCTATATATATATATATATATATATATATATATATATATATATATATATATATATTCAGTCAGTCAATAAACTTCTCACCTTCAATCCTCATGCATAAGATTACTTGTCGTTATTGGATTCGAACATTGGACATCACAACAGTTGTTGCGTTACAACTAAAATTTTATGAACGTGTTTCAGTTCACTTAATTGCATCAACTTGTGGATTGTTTATCTGCTTCTTTTAAAATCACCGGCATATTAACATAAGTCATAACTAAAGATGGTTTAAAAAGTAGTATATATATATATATATATATATATATATATATATCACTATTTCACCTACAAACTGTAACTATGGCAATTTAATCTAATATACGCACGTACCAAGTTCTATGTTGTAACTGACTGGACGGTAGAAAAAATAAGAGGCTCGTCGATGATTTTGTGCTATTTGAAAAAAGTAAACATTTTCATTCATAAAAAGTAAAACATATGGAAATAATTAGCTCAAATAGTGAGTTTTCTCTTTCATCGACAAGATTGATATTGGTTAGTCGTGTTAGAGGATTGTTCAGGAAAGCCTTTATCACTTTCATTTTATGAAATTGCACTCGAATTAATAATTGGTTCATATTTGTCATCCGGATTGTTTTATCTTGTAATTAAGCAGTAGTAGAGCAGTGGCTGTTTAGCTGAAACATATAACTTTTTGTTAAATTAGTGTTTTATGCGTTTAGTGATTTAATTTTCTAATCAGAGAAATTAATTTCCATAAAATTATCTCAAACTTCGAATCCGCATCGTCTCAGCGCAAGACTTTCAATCTTAAGGTTTGAATCCCATTTTATTTGTGTAGCAGGATACAATAACGAGTCTCTTAAATAAAACTACTGCTAAAAGCTAAGTACATACGAACGCGTACATAATCAGTAACAAATTGCAATGGTTTAATATCTTTGAAATAAACCAAATTAATAAACAGTTTGAATATTATTGCAATTACAGAATATTTAAATGTGTACCGTTTCACCATAATTCACAATTGTAAACTCTTCAGATTGACTGCGAAACTTTCGTTGTCAATTTAGAAAGTTTTTTCAGATCTACCTTATTAAAAAATAAGAAACTGATAAGTGCCAAATGGCACATAGTCCAAATCTATGGTTTCTTGTCGACAACGTCTAACCACCACCGTTGATTGTAACATGGTGCATGCGATATTGAGTCACTTAGACTAGTAACCATATTGCATATTTTTCATCAGAATTGGATCAATGCTAAGAAAGACTCGACATATATGACATTGACCACTACCATTGATCAATCAATTATAACAATAGGATATTATTTGTATGGTGCTATTACGTTGTTTCAGATAAGTTTTACTGTACTGTTTATAATTATTATTTCTTTCTAAGGTGTCTTTGATGAAGTTCTAAAATTATTCTAATAGCTTGGTTACTACGACTTTTATACACATTATTCTTTGTTAATATGTGGAGAAATATGTAGACGCAGTTGATTCTCAAGTATTAAAAGCTATCGAACTCTTCTATATTAATCCACCCTAGCTTTGATTAATTCATTGAACAAAATCAATAACGGTTATTGTCATTCAGCTAGGCTCTTGAATACATTATAATATCGTCCAATACACAAATTTAATACCGTGGTTTTAAATCTCGGGTTGCTTTTGCTTGTAATAATATGTATTTCGCTTCTATGACAGTAAATTTATATATACTTACTTACTTTACTTACGCCTGTTACCCCCAATGGAGCATAGGCCGCCCACCAGTTTTCTCCAACCAACTCTTTCTTGGGCATCCCTTTCCAGTTCTGTCTAATTTTTGTTCATTCCTCTCATATCTTTCTCTATTTCTCGGCGTAATGTATTCCTTGGCCTTCCTCTTTTTCTTTTGCCTTGAGGGTCCCATGTGAAGGCTTGTCTTGTGACGCAGTTATATATACTCGAAGAATAATCTTCAATTTAGGCATCTCTACGGCCCTCCTACTGGTGTACCTTTTTTCGTAGTGCTATACCCATCATTTTCATAAATGTTAACAAACACTTCCTGTCTAATAATAATATTACTGAACGACAACCTAATTAGACCAAAAAAAAATAACTAAACTTCCTGTATTAAGTTTATGCTTCATATTTTCTTTACCACGTTCTCTAAAATCTGTAGCTTAATCATTATTTTGCATTCATTGAGTGTGGGTTCTTGTCGTCGGCTTCAAATTGTACATTTGGTATTTACTGACAGAAAATCGAGTAATTTATCCCTTAAGTCACTGCTGTACAATGTAAATGTCATTGTCATTCTTGATAACATTATGAAATTCGGATTGAGTTGAAATTTTAGAATTTCACCACAGTTGTTACCATCATAACTTTCTCATAGGAACTAAAAATCTCCACTACCATCTCATTCATTTATCAACCTAGTGAATATTGATACACTTAGCATCAATGTAATCAAACAAAAGTGGATTGAATATTTTGTTTATCTTTTCTAAGGATTCAATTACATATAAGGATAAATTTATAACCCATAAAAGTGTGACAGTGCTTTTCGTATATATATATATATATATATATATATATATATATATATATATATAAGCCGTAAAATATCGCACATATATATCGTAAAAGTGACTGTAAAGTACACTTTGATTGTGTTCAGCCTTATTTTTCGTTATTAACTAACAAATTGAGTTTAAAAACTTATCATTAACATGGACATAATGGTAAACTTTAATGCAAACGTGATCATTACTAATATAATAAGAATAATAAATCCCATACTTATAGTGTGTGTAGGCCTATGAAACTACAACAAACATTCATTTTATGAGTTTAGCCTGGCTGTTATGTTTTGGTTTGATAAATTGGATTGATGCAAATTGTTATCAGGCTTTGTATGAATTGTGTCTGATTGACTAGCTACAGAATTGATATTAATTGAGAGTGAATTGTCGAAAGTCATTTTTTAATCAATAGATATTCAAATATTTAAATCATATTTAAAGTCCATCCAACTTTTCTAAATTTCTAGTTTTAACCCACAACCCAAAAATATCCCGTACAAATGTTCATGGTTGATTTAAGACCCAATCTACTGTCCAGGTACCAGTATAGATTACTTCATATGACTCATATTATAAAAATTAGCAGTTTTTCTCACATTATCCTTTGACCAACATAAAATAGTAAATTAAACCTTATATCAGTCAGTACTTAGAATTCATCTTGTTTTCTTGGGAAGGTAGTCAAAATGCTATTTGATTTAACTCAAATAGATTCCTGCATCTCACGTCCACTTACATGAGTTTAAATCAAGTTGCTATCAACATTTGACTTTCAAAGTTTACAAGATTATTACTCAAATAATCAGAAACTACTTTATGCCTGCCACAAATACCATTATTACTCCGATTCACCACAGGATAAGTCGGCACATTGAAAACAAATCAATAAAAATCGATCCGAATAAATAAAAACAATTTTATCAATAACTCTTAATATTAACAAATTAATACAAACTATAAAAAGAAGATTACAATTTTTTTACTTGAAATCCTTTGGCCTTATCGTATATACTGTATACAGTTCAAACCGGAATTTTGACATTTTGATGGATTGGTAACATTTTTTTCAATTGACTTCTTTAAGATTATTTTCATTTTATTTTTCTAATTTAGCTTATCTTGTATCAAAATCCGCAAATTTAACACAAAATCTCTTCAGTTAGTAAAAGTTTAAAATTTCAAAATTTAAGCATAATCATGAGTGGTGAGAGTAAAGCGATCGCCTATTGGTTAACTTTCAACTATTTAGTTCTAAGTTCGAACCCTATCGAGTCTACTTCAGGTTTCACATCCATTCATTGGCTTTCTGCAATTTGAGTATGAGTGCTCAATATGAATGAGTTAATTTGGTGCTTTTTGATAATTTTAAGTAAATACTGCCAGGTTTAGACTGCTCTTTATAGTTTACTTGTTGTAACTAACTGAGAGCATTTTACTTTATGCTACTGCTACTAAACTAATTTAATCCTATATGTTCATTCTGCAAGCATTTTCGTAATACAATATATATATATATATATATATATATATATATATATATTATAACATTTGTATGTGAACAATTATTATTTCTGAGTTTAAAAATGTGTGTAAACTTTGATATTTTAGACTTAATCATTGTGATACTAAATATTAGACATTTCAAGAATAACAAGATACCACCTGTTCTTTGTTATATTTATTCATAGAAATATATGTTACATTTGGATATAAATATGCCAATATATATAATTCCTCAGCTGTTAGACAAATTATAAACTTTGGTAATCATAACTTAATTAGGTAAATATTGACGAATATTATACATACAACAGACGGAATAAGAACGATTTAGTTCCTCATAATACACTGGTCATGTAAGAAGAATATTATCCGTCTTTTGGAAAGATTCTTTCGCACATCATACTATGCAAATAGTTATTATATGTTTTGGATAATAAGGATAAAGTTGTGTGTTAGAGATGAGGTGGCCAATGAAGT